CCACCTTGGGTGTACATTGCTGGCGCCTTAGCCAGTTGAGCCACAGGCACAGAGCCTTGATGTCAGCTCTTATTATTCTTGTCTCTCAATCACCATGTTCCAACCACATTGCCTTTCTCCTGTTCTCTGAAGTTACAGCACATTTCTGCCTAAGGATGTTCCCTCTGCCTGGAACGTTCCTGCTGATTCCTACAACAGCTCCTTCCCTGATGTCCTTTGGTATTTACCCAAATGTTGTCTTCTCAGGGAACCTCCCTGATCACACCTCCTTGGGCACTTCCTACCCATATTGCCTGCTGCTTTGTTTTCCCACTTAGCTTGTAATGCTACCAAAATGTAACTGCATATTTTGCTTATGTATGGAGTTGTTGGTCTCTTCCTCAACAGAATATAAACTCTACTAGGGCAGCAATTTTAATCTGTTTTGTTCACAGCTATATCCCCACAGCCGGGCACAAAGTAAGTGTCATCATTTATGGGGCTCAGCACCTGATCCAAGCTTACTTCTGGTGCCTCCTATGGTCCTGGGAGACCTTGTCCACCCCCACGATTTTTGTAGCTGCCTCTTAGCTGGCTCCTCCCCGTCTCCAATCCTGATCTGTCTCCTGCTCCCCAATGTGCTACAAGCTGCTCATGCCCAGCAAGTGCCAGCAGCATTCTCAAACATCTTGCTCTTAAGTCTTCATCTCATGGGCAGCCCTGCCATACACCCAGTCACCTGGCTGTAGACCAAGATGCCCTGCTTACCCCCTTTCCCTCCACACATACCCACATCCCACCACTCACCAAAATATCCCTTGAATCTGTTCACTTCTTCCAACCCACAGCTATATCCTAGGGCAGCCTCATTCTGTCACCCACACCCTGAGCCCCTGCCTTCCCTGGCTACCTCTTTCTCCACAACATCCTACAAGACCTTTTTTTTTTTTTTTATAGACAGGGTCTCACTCTGTTACCAAAGTAGAGTGAGAACCTGCCAAATAGTGGCGGGTTCAAACCCGGCCCCTGACCAACTGCAACAAAAAATAGCTGGGCGTTGTGGCAAAGCTGGAGTTCAGTAGCACAATCGTAGCTCACTGCAGCCTCCTGGGTTCAACTGATCCTCCTGCCTCAGTCTCTGAGTCAGTCACATGCCATCACACCTGGTTAATTTTTTTCTCTTTTGAGACAGAGTCTCACTATGTTGTCCTCGATAGAGTACTGTGGCGTCACAACTCACAGTAACCTCAAGCTCTTGAGCTTAAGCGATTCTCTTGCCTCAGTGTCCCAAGTAGCTGGGACTACAGGCACCTGCCACAAAGCCCAGCTAATTTTTTTTTTTTTTGGTTGCAGTTGTTTAGCTGGCCCAGGCTGGGTTCGAACCCACCACCTTTGCTGTATGTGGATGGTGCCATAACCACTATGCTACAGGCACTGAGCTGCACCCAGCTAATTTTTATTTTGTGCAGAGACAGGATCTCACTATTGCCCAGGCTGTTCTCTAACTCCTGGACTCAAATGACCTTCCTTCCCTCAGCCTCCTAAGTAGTTGGGACTACTTAGCCCACCATGACCAGCTCATTTTTAAATCCTTTTTGTAGAAATGGGGGTCTCACTATGTTCCAAGAGACTCCTTAGCTTCCACATCCATCAAACACCTATCACTAGTCCAGGGAGCTATGACAATTGTGCCACTGCATGCACCCTCCTCTCCCCAAATTGGGGTAACTGCAGCAGAAAAATCAACCTGGGAGTGGTGGTACAAGCATGTGGTTCCAGATACTCAGGAGGCTGAGACAAGATGATCACTCGAGCTCAGGAATTCAGGGCTGCAGTGAGCTGTGATCATGCAACCATACTCCAGCCACTCTAGCCTGGGTGACAGAGCAAGACCACATCTCTAAAAAATAAACATATTTTGGGCAGCACCTGTGGCTCAGTGGGTAGGGCACTGGCCCCATATACCAAGGGTGGTGGGTTCAAACCCAGCCCTGGCCAAACTGCAACAAAAAAATAGCTGGGCATTGTGGTGGGCACCTGTAGTCCTAGCTACTCAGGAGGCTGAGCCAAGAGAATCACCTAAGCCCAGGAGTTGGAGGTTGCTGTGAGCAGTGTGATGCCATGGCACTCTACCAAGGGTGATAAAGTGAGACTGTCTCTACAAAAAAAATAGAATAAAATAAAATAAACATATTTTTAAAACTCCAAGGCAAGGTCCAGGCATGTAGAGGGAAGGAGGTCTCTGGCTGCAGAGCCTACTGCTGCATGAGTGAGCGACCATTTCTCCCAAGCCTGTGCCATCACCAACACCCCTGAAATAGCACTATGCATTTCTCTGAGCACTTAAGGGTGTCAGGCCCTATTCCAGGCATCCAAGATACAGCAGTGAGTTCTGCAGGTGAGTTCTGCACATTCATCTAGTCAGAGATGAATGTGACCTTTGAATTAAGGGAGCTGGCCTTGGTGTTGCTAGGGGCTAGCCTGGCAGTCACAGCTGGCACCTGTGTCCTTCTGCTGTACATAAACAATTTCTCAGAAAGCCAACATTAGACAAGGCCACTCTGTGACCATGATGGAATAAGACAAAACAAGTCCACTCAGCAATCACGTCTGAACAGAGGCAGACATGAACGTCGTCCGCACCATAAGAGCAGCCAGACCCCCTCTTTTCCTGACTAACTCGAGCAGCAGCTATTCCTTACCAATCACAGCTTTAGTCTCGCTCCGTTCATCTGACTCCATGATGGTGACTAAGATGCTTAGTAAGATGCTTACCTGTCTCCCTTGCTTCCTATTAGCATCTAGATCCATCTTCTGGGTCCTCCTTTCTCCATAAGCAAGAAGACGAGGCTGAAATGTATATTTGCCTCTGTCTGGCAGAGCAAAAACCCTTGCCTGGGCTGGCAGCAGGGCAGCAGGAGATCTGGTCTCACCTTCGTGAACTAAACAATAATTTGCTTAAAGTTAATGAGAAAGAACACACCTAAATCAGTGATCTGAGACATCACAAACTGAGTCACCTTCACCACCCTTATTTATTATTATTATTATTTTAGCAAGGCTCATCACTTTAGAAAACCACCTTTATTATATCTTTAAGTATTTCATGTTTTAGAAAATGCTTTTCCTTTTTAAAAAATTTGTTGGCTCGGCGCCTGTGGCTCAAGTGGCTAAGGCGCCAGCCACTTACACCCAAGGTGGTAGGTTCGAATCCAGCCCGGGCCCGCCAAACACAATGATGGCTGCAACCAAAAAATAGCTGGACGTTGTGGCGGGCACCTGTGGTCCCAGCTACTCTGGGAGGCTGAGGCAGGAGACTCGCTTGAGACCAGGAGTTGGAGGTTGTGAGCTGTGATGCCACAGCACTCTACCCAGGGGGACAGCTTGAGGCTCCTGTCTCAAAAAAAAAATTTGTTATTGCAACATAATATTATACATATAACATAAAACTGACCATCTTAACCATTTTTAAGGGCACAGTTCACTAGCATTAAGTACATTCACATAGTTGCGCACCATCCATCTCCCCAACTTTGTCATCTTCCCAAACTGAAACTCTGTCTCCCTTAAATAACAACTCTCTATTCTCACCTTGGCTGGGTTTTTGTTTATTTGCTGGTTTTTTGAAGACAGGATCTCATTCTGTTACCTAGGCTGAAGTACAGTGGTGAGATCATAGCTTACTGCAACCTAAAACTCCTGATCACTGGTGATCCTCCTGCGAAGCTAGGACTATAGGCTCATACCACCAAACACAGCTAATTTTTCTAACTTGTAGAGACAGCGTCTTGCTACACTGCCCAGGCTGGTCTCAAACTCCTGGCCTCAAGTGATCCTCTCACCATAAGCCACCATGCTTGGCCCTTCCCTGGGTTTTTTAAAAGTGCATATACTTAAAGGATACAGTGTGATGTTGTACTATATGTACACATTGCAGAATGATTAAATCAAGCTAAGTAAAGTATCCATCACCCCACATACTTATTTTTTTGATGAGAACATTTAAAATCAATTCTCAGCAATTTTTCAAGTGAACAATATACTACCATCATTGTCTTGTTTTTATTTGCCTGATCATCTCAAAAAACAAAGTAAAATTTCCAGCCAGTAAATGCATCTAACAGAGAGTGAAGCCCTATTTCTTTAAACCCTCCCCCATGACATCTAACAGGACCCCAAATTCTATAATGTGTTATAACCCTCTCCTGGGCATGCACTCTTTTGCTATGAGTAATGAGCTTGAATTTGTTCAACTACAAGCACATTCCTGGTGGTCTTTAGCTGGGGACCAGGAGAGGACTGACCCCTTTGAAGGGTACTATGGGGGGGTCTGTCAGCCCTGAAATGTCATTAGGGGTACAGTGACTCAGGAAGGTAGGCCCATTTTGTGTGGAGTGTGTTAGGAGGCAGAAGAACAGGAAAACTTTGGAACGCAGTAACAACAGACACAAGTATCTTGTTGCATCGAATCCTTACCACTGCTTTCTGAGGCGGATACCATTGTCAGTCTCATTTTCTACACAACAAAACTGAGACTCCAAGAAGTCAAGTCACCTGCTTGGGTCCCTTGAGCTCTCAGGAGGCAGGATTCACACTCACATCTTCCTGATTTATTTTCTTTCTTTTCTCTCTTCTCTCCTTCTCTCCCCTCTCCTCTCTCTCTCTCTTTCTTTTTTGACAAGGTCTTAACTATATCACCCAGACCTCAGTCTTCCAGGTAGCTGAGCCTATAAGCACATGCTACCACACCTGGCTTTTGCCTCCTAATTTTTCTCCTAGCTACCCCCCAAGGTGCTCATGAACCATTATGACAAAAGCTCTTGGGGTCATAATGGGCACATCTGGACCATACTTGGATGCAGCCTTGGCAATAACATGAGGTGTCCTCTGGAAGACTAGGGACAGATGGAGTCTGAGGGTCCAGCCTGTGGCCAAGTACGTTTCCTAAGACTCACTAGACCCACACCTTCTTTTGAGGTAGGTACTCTGTCCTTGTCCCTGGTGTGCAAAGGATAAAACTGAGGCTTATGGGAGCTCAATTACTTATTCTAAGGTTACCTAGACAGTCATCTCAGTTGTTGGATTTCCCTTAAACTATTTTGGAAACTTCTTGACTCTCAACTATTTCAGGTGGCAAAATGATCCAAAAAGCAACACAACTATACACTAAAAAACTGTGGTTTTGTTATAAAACACACACACACCTTGGTATGTGTTTTCTAAAGAGGCAGACATGAGCACACGGTTGTGGGTTGAAATGATCTGGGAAGGCTCCCTGTAGAGGTGAACCTGAGAGCCAGGAGTGCTAGTGGGCACCCAGGGTTTTCACAGGGGTGAAGAGTGGAGACACCTGTGCTCTGTGCAAAGGTGAGAAAGTCCCAGTTGACTGAACAGGGGAGAGTAGGCAGAGGGTTGGAGCCTGAAGTTAAAGGTCAAAGAAGGGAAGGGAGAGGTGTGTAATCCTCAGGCAGTTTGAAGACAGGAAGAGCTTGAGGAGAAGAAGCAGGTCCCAGGACAAATGCAGGGGGCAGGAAGACCAATGACAAAGTCTGTGGCAGAAATGGCTCAGCTCCCGGAGCAGCTGGGACTACAAGTGCTCCCCAAAATGCCTGGCTATTTTTAGAGACAGGGTCTGGCTCTAGCTCAGGCTGGTCTCAAACTCCTGAACTCAGGCAATCCACCTGCCTCAGCCTCCCAGAGTTCTACAATTACAGGTGTAAGCCACTACAGCTGGCTTCCCATTACCTTTCCAATCTCATTGCCTACCAACCTCAGGGTCTTTGCACTTGCTATTCCCTCTGCCTGGAATGTACTCAAATTACTCAAATGCCTCCCTCCTCACCTTTTCCTGGCTTTTGGACAGAGTTTCACTATGTTGCCCTCGGTAGAGTGCTGTGGTGTCACAGCTTACAGCAAACGCAAACTCTTGGGACTATAGGCGCCCACCACAACGCCCAGCTCTGTTTTTGATGTAGTTGTCATTGTTGTTTAGCAGGCCCAAGCTGAGTTTGAACCTGCCAGCCCCTGTGTATGTGGCTGGCGCCCTAGCCACTGAGTTACAGGTGCCCAGCTCTTTTCCTGGTCTTTGATAATTGCAAAACCCTCCCCCAAACCCTAACCTTCTGCCTTGTGTGACTTTATCCCCCATATCGCTTGTAATTTACTCTTCAATGTATGCTGTTACACTTATTCGTCAATGTCTGTCACTGCCTGTCCCATTATCAATACACAAGAGCAGGCCTCTAGGTCTGTTTTGCTAGTAATGTAACTCTCCCATCCCTAGGGCCTAGAATAGTGCCTGGCACGCAGTGGGCACCAAATGAATGCTTACTTACATCTCTACTTTCCCTGAGGGCGACCACAGGGACCCCATCTCCCTGCCCAGTGCCTGGCGCACAGAAAAGAGTAAAAGGCAGTATCGTCCCTCGCGGGCAGTTGCTCAGTCGCGTATCTCCGCTCCCCTCGCAGGTGACGCCGCGTCCAACGATGGCCACAGGCGCCCTTCTGCCGTGCCCGCTGTCCCGGCTGGACTTCCTCAAGGCCTCACACTTCGCGCTGGGGCCCGACCCGCGGCTACATCGGGGCACCATGCGCTCCACGTTGCACCGGGACTTCCCCGCCTATCCGGGGTTCACCTGGCCACACCCGAGTCCGCCGCCGCCGCGCGCGCCGCTCTTCCATGTGGACGCGCGCTGGGCCGGCGAGGAGCACGTGTCGGAGGCGCGCCGCGCGTTCCCGCCGCCGCCGGAGCAGGCGTGGGAGCAGGAGAGGGAGCTGGTGCGGGAGCGTACACGCGCTATGCAGGCCAGCAGCGTGCTCATGCACGCGGACGCCCGCGCCGGCTCCAGACTGTCCAACGCCCGTGCAGCCTACGGCTGGCCTGAGTTGCCCGCGCGTGCCCGAGAGACAATCCGCGGCGCGCGCCTCATCTTCGACCGCGACTCGGTGCCTTCCGGCGACCGAGACCAGCTACGCATCCCAGCCACCACGCACCAGGCGCTCTTTCCGCCCCACGACGCGTGCCCGCAAGCCCGCGCACCCTGCAGCCACCTCGGTGAGCGCGCGCCAGGGGCCTCCCGGGCCTTTTGCTCAACCTCAGTGGTTCTCAAAGAGGAGCCGGGATTCTGCAACATCCTCTCCTCACCCCGCGAGGGAGGATGACAGTATCTGGAAACATTTTTGGATATCACGAATGGTGGCGAGGGTGCTGATAGCATGCAGTGGTAGTAGCCAGGGATGCTACAAAGCTCGCTACCAGGCATGGGGCAACCCCAAATGCCAGTAGTAGTGAGGCTCTGAACCATGGGACCTTCCTCAGTTCTCACCGTGGGTAGAGTGGGCATATCTCCTGAATCTGTCCAGGGTCTGCTGTGAGGTGGGAAAAAGTTACGAATTTTGATTTGAGATCAGGCAAACCTGCTAAGTTCTCTGCCTACACACATTCCACCCTCCTCCCCAGCCCTACCACCTTGGTAGCTGTGTGACTCAGTAATTGGAACTCTCCAAACCTCAGTTACCTCATCTACAAAATGAGTGCAGTTGCAGGGCCTGACTTCATAGGCGCTGGTGAAGCCCAGTGTGCAAGGTATGCATGGCGTATAGTAAGCACTCAACAAAGAGTAGCCATTGTCTAAGCGAATTTCCAATTCCGTCTTCCCAGGGGCCCTTCTTGTGGACACCACTAGTCAGAGGCCCTCCAAAGTGGGCTCAGGGATTCTCCTACCTGGATTTGACTCTTAGTTCTGTTTCCTACTTTCTGTGATTTCTGGCAAGTCACTTAATCGCTCTGAGTCTCGGACTGTAAAATGGGGGTATAATGCCGTATCCAAAACCAGGTGCAAAGCACTTAACCTAGGTGCCTGGCTCAACACCACTTGGTACCTACCTAGGTATAATACCAATACTGTTGGTATTATTTTAAAAGTTTGGGGATGTTTGCCAGATGTCCCTCAGTCCAGACTGGTCATGACAGCCCAGCTCCTATTTCTAGGAAAGAAACGAAATTCCAGTGGGTCTGCAGGAATCTATCCCATTCTCTCTCTGTCTCTCTCTCTCACCTCTGTCTCTTTTTCTCCCCCCACTCCCCACTTATCCTCAGGGGGCCCCAACATCCTAACATGGGACTACAGGGGACAGGATGGGACTTCCTACCAGAGACAATTCCAGGCCCTGCCGGGCCCACCTGCATTGATGTGCAAGAGGGTAAATCAAGGCTGAGCCAGGGCTGCTGAGGAGGGCAGCAATAGGGCTGGATTTTGGCCTTCCCATTCCTGTCTGCCCACAGGCCTCCTCTAGTGTGGAACTTGGAGACTGCAAGATTGGCTATAGACCCATGTGTTCAGAGCAGAAACAGGCCTACAGACCCCAGGGCCTGTCCCCAGACAGGTACAAAGGGACGACTGCCTTCTCACTCAGATGGGACAATTGGCTTTCAGCCACATGTGGGATGGGCCATATAGAGTTCCAGGGCCAATACTCTGCCTTTGAGGTCTCCAACACTGTTAGGCAAGGTGCACTATTGTGCTAGATCTCCCACTATTAGCACCCCCAACACGGGCATTGGGCAACCTGCTTCCCTTTCCTGGGAGTCATAAGGGCCCAGATGGAGCCCACCTTTCCTTATTCTTGGTGGAATAATACCTTGCCTATAGGTATGAAAAGGCCCAGGCTGCAGCCCACATCCACTACGTGAATATTTCTCCTGGAGATGGCCTCTTTCATGACAGGACCACCAAGAGCGAGCACTTCTACCCCCAGGAGCCAGGTGAGAGCTGCTGCCTGCCCCACCGCGGGCTTCCATGGGCAGGACAGCTCAGCACCTACTCTGCCACTGGCAGAACCTTTTGTTCTTCACCACGATCAGACTCCAGAGTCGCACATCCTGAAAGGAAATTGGTGCCCTGGCCCGGGCAGTCTGGACACCTTCATGCGGTACTTCTATGGCCAGGTCAGCAGGAAGAGTGGGAAGGCAGCAGGGCTCGCCAGGGAAAATGGCTTCTCAGACAGCGCAAATAGCAAGTGCAAAGGTCCAGGGTGGGAATGAGCTTGCCTTTGAGTATGGAGGAAGCTACAGGATCTGTTTGAGTGATCTAGGTTAAGTCAGTTAATCCCTCCGAGCCTCTGGCTGTTTGTAAAATTTGGTAACAGTACCAACTCCCAACGCTATTGCGTGGGGCCGAGAAAGGGTGAGGGAGCTGTCCAAGGTCTCACAGCACCCACTGCCTCCCTCTCACTAAGCCCCGGGATACCCGGAACAAGGGAACTTCCCAGATGTCATGTGGTCCTACAGCCGCCGCCCCCGACCCAGCCACCCAGCCGCCACGCGGCCCACAAGAAATTGCAGAGTCACGTGACCCTAGGAGACCCGAAGCTGCTCGGACGCTTCTTCCAGACCACCATGGGCTCAGACTACTGCCCCTCGGAGATGGTAGAGATGCCGAAAGCGTCCAGCCTCCACTTGCTGCAGAGCAAACTGCTCCTGGGCACCAGCGGTCAGTGCGGGGGCCCCGCCCGCACTTGCCACATGTCTGGCCACACCCCTGGTAGGCGATGCCCACCCCGGCCCCGCCTCCTGACGGGTTAAATCCCACTGTAAATTGACCAGGACTCCAACTAAGCTCCTAAGATACCCTCGCCCTTTTGCGGCCATGCCCCGCCCCCTGTATGACCCCGCCCCTCTGGCTGGGCTTTAGCCCCGCCCCTTTCGCAGTACCTAACCAACTTCCCCTCAGTTTCTGGCTTTGCCCTTCGCCAGCCCTCCTGCCCACCTGGTGCCGCCCTCTTACTCTCCGGCCTGGCCCCGCCCCTGGTCTCCTCAGCCCCATCCCTTCGTTACTCTCTTTCCCACCACCGCAAACCCGCAACCTGCTCCTAATTCCTTCTTGGTTACTGGTCAACAACACCAGGGGTGGCCCAGGCTTGGACCCCGAACCATTTCCCCACCCTTAATCTGGAGCATCCCCGCCCCCCCACCCTACCTCATCTCCCTCATCCCCTTAACTTAGCTGCCCCCACTCAAATCTCCAGAATTCGATTTTTTAACCACGAACCAGAAGATGATGAAGCCACATGGAAAAGCTCGAGCCCCGAGGACTGAAGAGATGCTACAGCGGGTGAGGGAGGGAGAAGGGATCTACCCCTCATCAGGTGACTCCCAAGTCGGCTCAGAGTTATCTCAGGGGGATGTGCTGTCACCCCAAACTCAAGAGTTAATGACCGCTCAGGCTCAGGGTCATTTTAATGTCACTCCAGCATGATCCCTAGCTCACTCCCCCGGTCATGTCAGAGTCAGCTCAGGTACATCTCTGCATCACCGGCCATGTTTATGCCCAAGTGAAAGTTAAGTAGAGTTGCCTAGGATCGCCCCAACCCTGGGGTCCTTCAGGGTCATCTATGGTTTCTCTCTGTCTTCTCATTCAGCTCCTGGGTCAGCTCAGATGGGACCACTTTGCCCATCTCCCAATGTCCAATCACCAGAAAAGCCTGGCTGAGCCCCCACTGACCCTTTGATGTCCCCAGGGTGGACCAGTCTGGGTGGGTCAGTCAACCCCCAGGCAGCCCTTCAAGGCTGCCCACCCTGACTCCACAGTGCAAATACAGCCACATGGAGCCCCCCCTGGGCAGACTGTGTTTCTTCTCAACCCAATACAAGGATGAGTTTCTTCACAAGTACCAGGGCCCAGCAGTGCTGAAACTGAGCAAACTCCAGGAGAGCTCTGTGCCCCTGGGCACGCTTCGCCAATGGGGTTGTGGGGAGAAGACAGACCCGCAAGCCCCCCAGCTTTCTGTGTACCCCTGCCCCAGCCAGCAATAAACATCATCTTGGCAAGAGCTCACTCCTCCCCATCAGCCAGCCATTAAAGATGGGTGGGGACCAAAAGAAGGGGCCATACAGGGGAAGATGACTTCATTGTGAAAAACCCATATGCCCAAATGGACAGTTCTGCAGCCTCTGGGTTGCTCTGGATGACATAAGGAGTATGGAGTCATAGTGGTGAACAGAGGCATTGGGGTGGGAGGTTGAGAACGCAGGTTCCCTCTCAGTGCTGGGATATAAAACAAATCCTTACTCCTTTGTGTCTTGAGTAGTAATTTGGGTCAAGTCACTTAACCTCTGAATCTCCATCTGTGAAATGGAGATAAATGACAACTCTCTCATTAGATTGTTATATATGAAAAATATACACACTTGTCAGTGAAAGCTGGCGGGGGGGGCTTCCTTCTGAGGATGAAGATGAGAAGAGGGAGGAAGGCCAAGGTTTGGAGAAAAGATCTGGATGGCAGAGAGGCTGGCCATCTGGACCAGAGCATGGCCTTGAGAAACTGCTGAGAATGGCCCAGCAGCTTCCTCCATGCTGGACAGAGACTGGCCCCCACGTCAGAGCAGGGTCCAGGTGCAAATGGATAAAAGTCATCAAGACATAATGATGTCCAACGGGATAAGTGCCCCACCAGTGACATGATGAGAAAGGACAAAAGGAGGTCTGTGGGGTGAGGCCCTGATGCCGGTGAGTGACTGGGCTAAGCAAAGACCAGTACATTGGACCAGAGCCTAACCTTTGAGGTTTGGGGTCTAGTGAGGAAGGTCTGTCTGGGATAAGATGGGCTTTGGTGGCCATGCCTGGAGGTAGGCTGTTGAACATCCAAGTTTTTGTTTTGCTTTGCTTTTGGTTTTTTTGTTTGTTTGCTTGTTTGTTTTTTTGAGAGAGAGCCTCAGGTTGTCCCCCTGGGTAGAGTGCTGCGGCATCACAGCTCACAGCAACCTCCAAATCCTGGGCTCAAGTCTCCTGCCTCAGCCTCCCAAGTAGCTGGGACCACAGGCGCCTGCCACAACGCCCGGCTATTTTTTCGTTGCAGCCATCATTGTTGTTTGGCGGGCCCGGGCTGGATTCGAACCCACCACCTTAGGTGTATGTGGCTGGCACCTTAGCCATTTGAGCTGCAGGCACTGAGCCATTTTTTTGTTTCTTCTTTGAGACAGAGATTTATTCTGTCACCCCAGGTTAGAGTGCAGTGGCCTCAGCCTAGCTCACAGAAACTTCAAATTCCTCTCAGAGTGCAAGGATTACAGGTGTAAGCCACTATGCCCAGCCAAGCATCCAATTTCCAGTAGTGAACATGGCTTTCCTGAACCTTAAGTCAGATATGTAAAGACCAAAGCCCACACCCCACCCCATTGTGCCTGTGGTTGCCAACTTCACCCTGGCCAGGGTCCCTCCCTCATCAGCATTAGTTCTTCTGGGGTAAATTGTCATTTCAACAGGAATAGCAGGGGTCCAGCTTTGCATCCTGTAGGGACAAGATGGCCCTTTTGGCTTATGACATCCACACTGACCACGAGAGAATCTGCTAGCTGCTTAACACTTCCTTTGTTTGAATCCTCTGAGGATGTTCTGTGTCATACACTTCTGTGTTAGGCATAGGGTTTGTCCTTGATATCTTGGATCAAATGATTATTTGTTGGAGACCATTCTGTGCATTGTAGGATGTTCAGCACTATCCTTGTCCTCTACCTACTAGATGCCAGAAGCATACCTCCCACTCACTTGTGATCATGAAAATGACTCTCTGGGGTGGGGGCCCTTGTTAAAAACCACTGTGATAGGCTTGGCACCAGTAGCTCAGTGGTTAGGGCGCTGGCCACATACGCCGGGGCTGGCAGTTCAAACTTGGCCCAGGCCTGCTAAACAATGACAACTGCGACAAAAAAATAGCCAGGCATTGTGGTGGGCGCCTGTAGTCCCAGCTACTTGGGAGGCTGAGGCAAGAGAATCGCTTAAGCCCATGAGTTTTTGAGGTTGCCGTGAGCTGTGATGCCACAGCACTCTACCCAGAGTAACATAATAAGACTCTGTCTCAAAAAAAAAAAAAAAAACTGCTATAAATTCACCCCTTTCTGTTGAAGCTGGTCTGCTTGTTGATCAGACTACTAGAACATAAAGCCTTTCCCATTTTGCCTTGCCTTCCAGGGTGTTCAGAGATCTTACTTTGGTGTTAAGTTCCAGCTCCAGTTGCTGAATTAATTGAGCTTCTGCCTCATCCCAGAAATGGTTTAAAACATCCCAGAGACCAGATGCAAAATGATGTATAGGCATTACAAAAAGCTGTATTTCAGCAAAACTTGAAGCATTTTATAACGATAGTACTGACCAACCCTGGGATGACTTTCCAGGGAAGAACAGAAACTTTACTGGAAATGTTTAATGATTGAGAGACACATCAGGATAATCCTGGTTGTACTCCAGGAATTTATGTCTAGCCATCCTATACCCTACTCACCCCCCACCCAAAGGCCATGGACCAATCATAGGATTGACCATGAGAAAAAGCAAGATCTGTGTTTTTTGTTTTTTGGGTTTTTTTGAGACAGAGCCTCAAGCTGTCCCCCTGGGTAGAGTGCTAATGTATCACAGCTCACAGCAACCTCCAACTCCTGGGCTCAAGCAAGTCTCCTGCCTCAGCCTCCCAAGTAGCTGGGACCACAGGCACCCGCCACAATGCCCGGCTATTTTTTTTGGTTGTAGCCTTCATTGTTGTTTGGTGGGCCAGGGCTGGATTAGAACCTGCCACCTTAGGAGTATGTGGCAGGCGCCTTAGCTACTTGAGCCACAGGCGCCAAGCCAAGATTCGTGTTTTTAAAGGAAAATGACTGTGTCAATGATAAGCATAACCCAGAAGCAGAATTCAGATCTGTGTTTCTGTTCTTGGGGAAGAACATGCTCTCACCTTCACTTTTCTCATTGATAAAATGGGGATTACACTAGTTTCTCCTTCAGAGAAGATTATAAGAAGTAAAGTGTGCATATACCATGCTTAGAACAGGACCTGGTGCTTGGCAGCAATTCAGTGAATAGTGGCTAAATTTGTTCATGTCTTTAGTGATTTTATTTATTTATTTATTTGAGACAGAGTCTCACTATGTCGCCCTGGGTAGAGTGCTGTGGCATCACAGCTCACAGCAACCTCAAACCTCCCAAGTAGCTGGGACTACAGGCGCCTGCCATAACACCCAGTTATTTTTTATTGAGGTTGTTATTGTTGTTTAGCTGGCCCAGGCAGGGTTCAAACCTGCCATCCTCAGTATATGTTGCTGGCGCCATAACCACTATGCTACAGGCACTGAGCCATCTTAAGTGATTTTAAAATTAATTTTTTTTATTTTGAGACAGAGTCTCACTCTGTCACTCTCAGAAGAGTGCTATGGCATCACAGCTCACAGCACCCTCAAACTCTTGGGCTTAAGCAATTCTCTTGCCTCAGCCCCCCAAGTAGCTAGACCTACAGGCGACTGTCACAATGCCCGGCTATTTTTTTTGCTGCAGTTGTCATTGATGTTTAGCTCGCCCAGACTGGGTTTGAGCCCACCAACCTCGCTGTATGCGGCTGGTGCCATAACCACTGTGCTATGGGCACTGAACCAAAATTAATTTTTTAAAATTATTTTTAAGGTCAGGCATGGTGGCTTACACCTGTAATCCTAGCACTCTGGGAGACCAAGGAAAGAGGATCCCTTGAGCTTAGAAGCCTGAGACCAGCCTGAGCAAAAGCAAGACTAAAAATAGAGAAATTACTGACTTGCAACCTTGGACTTTAGATGATCCTCTGGGTCTCCATCCACAATGCCTTTGCCCAAAAGCAAAAGAATCCAGGAGCCCAAGAAAACACACTCACCTGGGTATGCACCCCTTTTCCTCTTCTGGACCATGTCCCTTAGAGCCAGGGGCCTGGAATTTCCTGCCCAAATGACAAATCTTAGGGACAGGCTTTCATAGTAGCCTTCTGGCCCACGTAAAACTTTGTTTCTTGCTCACTGATACTAGTTCCTTCCTAATGTCCAACAAGTACATATTTCCTTTTTTTCATTTTGAGATCAGTTGTGTATGTGTTAATATAAAAACACATATGGTATCACATGTGTGATTATATATATTATATCACATAATATAAAAACACATATATGGTATCTAATAATTCTATGTGTCTTGATTAGGCTTGGTAGGAGGAGAGTAGATTTTATATGAGCAACATTGACTGCTCTAATCTTAATTTTTACATGTAAATTAAATGTAAAATGAAATCAATTCTATCACATTAATTTTTTAAGAAAAGAAAAATTACTTGGGTGTCATGGCAGATGCCTATAGTCCCAGCCACTTGGAAGGCTAAGGCATAAGGACCACTTGAACCCAAGAGTTTGAGGTTGCTGTGAGGTAGGTTGATGTCGTGGCACTCTAACCTGGATGGCAGAGTACACTCTGTCTCAAAAAAAAATAAAATTATTTTTAGATATGGGATCTCACTATGTTGCCCAGGATAGTCTTGAACTCCTAGCCTCAAGCGATCTTCTTGCTTCAGCCTCTTGAGTAGCTGAGATTACAAGTGTGAGGCAACATGCCCAGCTTTGAGTTCATTTTACTGCAAGTGACAGAGCTCTATTGAGCTCAAGCAAAAAAGAGATTTCATGAATTTAGAAACAAGAAAGTCTAGGATTGGGTTGAACATCAGGCATGCTAATTTTGCATCAGGACTCTATCTCTCTCCCTTGCCATCTCTCGGTCCCTCCAAGTGATGGTAAAGGATATATTGGCAACCAATCATGATTACAGCCCCCAAAGAAGGTGGGGTGGGGGTCTTCTCAACACAAGCCTTATAATGGAATTTAAGGAGCATGCTGATTGGCTCGTTTGAGTCACATGACTAAATATGAGCAATCACTGTACCCAGAGTCATAGAATACTGTAATTGGTTGGCCCTGTGGATCACTTGAGGTCAGGAGTTCAAGACGAATCTGAGCAAGAGTGAGACCTTATCTCTACAAAACATAGAAAAAGTTAGCCGGGCATGGTAGTGTGTGCCTATAGTCCTAGCTACTTGAGAGGCTAAAGCAGAAGGATTGCTTGAGCTTAGAAGTTTGAGGTTGTGGTGAGCTATGATGACGCCACTGCACTCTAGCCAGGGTGACAGAGTGAGACTGAAAAGCAAAACAAAACAAAACAAAAAAAAGAAGCTTGAGTCTTTCTTCTAAGACCTTGCTGAAAGCTGCATGAAAGCTCCCCTATATTCAAGCATCCTTGTCCTCAAGAAACATTCGGTCAGAATTCCAAAATAAGGCCCGGCGCCTATAGCTCAACCGGCTAAGGCGCCAGCCACGTACACCTAAGGTGGTGGGTTCGAATCCCCAGCCCGCCTGCCAAACAACAATGACGGCTGCAACCAAAAAATAGCCGGGCGTTGTGGTGGGCGCCTGTGGTCCCAGCTACTTGGGAGGCGGAGGCAGGAGACTCGCTTGAGCCCAGGAGTTGGAGGTTGCTGTGAGCTGTAATGCCACGGCACTCTACCCAGGGGGACAGCTTGAGGCTTTGTCTCAAAAAAAAAAAAAAAAAAAAAAGAATTCCAAAATAAAATAGGCAACAACTTAATCAAGTATTTTTCTTCCATGTAGCAAAGATATCTAGCTTCCTGGGCAAGGCTTGTCTACAGGGCTGCCCATATACATCTAGGTAGGTTGTGCACTGCACAAACATAGGGAGCCCTATTCACTGTATAGTCCATCTGTGTGGTAGCCCTGGCTCTCCACCCTCCCCCCACTTTGCTTAGCTAATTTCACATTTTAAATTATTTCCCTAAATACCCTTCCCCTTCCAGGTACCAATTTCTAAATTAATCAAGATTGTCATAGATACAAGGGACAGAACCCACCATAACTAGCTCAAACACTCAGGAAATTTGTTGGCTCATCATACTGGAAAGAATGAGAACCCCAGCTTCAGGTACAGCTACATCCAGGAGCTCAACCAATATAGCCAGAGCTATAGCTCTGACTCTCACATCTACATCCTACTGTATGGGCCTCAGTGAGCAGTGGGAAAGGTGGCCACAGTTAGAATGTAGGCCCCTACAACTCATGATTCCAGATGAAGAACAAGAATGAGACAATTCAATGTCATGTTCTCATTCCAGACCTAATTATTGCAGCTAGGGGATGGGGCTCTCTGACTTACATCTAGATCACAAGGTTCTGGGAAGCTGTGTTTGACACAGATCCATCGTGAGTGGTGGAGAGTACCCCATAAAGGAAAACCAACGTGCTGAGAGAGGTACTAAGTGGAGAGAAATAACAGATATCATCACAAATATTATTTTGTAGTGGGATCATCTAGGAGAAGGAAGGATGAGAAACCAGCAACATAATCCAATTGAAGTTTCATATCTCTCAGATCTGCTATAGGCTCCATAGGGCATAAGTCCAGCACAGATCAAGAGGGTTAAGGAAGGAGGGGGAACGCTCCCAGAGGCCTGATTTGCTCAGGGCTGTCTGTATTTAAGCATAGTTGTGTTAAAACCCACTAACACCACCAGAAACTTACCAGTGGTTAAAAAAAAAAAAAAAAGGTTTATTAAGCTTACTTCATTAAGGAACACTGCATACCAGGGAGCCCTAGCTTGTGTCTGTAAAGGGGGAGCTGGTGGCAGGGGGGCTTCTTACAGGATGTGGGCTTATGCTGGGTGGTTTTAAGGAGAGTTGAAACATTTATAAGATGGTGGTGTCAGGAACCAGGGATCAAATTGGTGACTGGGTATTTCCATGATTTTTATCTTAGTGGTGGAAGGATGCAAATAGGCTTGGAATTGTCATTGGTAAGAAAGCAGCAGTGGCTTGGCGCCTGTGGCTCAAGCGGCTAAGACACCAGCCATATACACCTAAGGTGGCGGGTTCAAATCTAGCCCGGGCCCACTAAAACAAC